CCCTGAACCCCAAAACCCAAAACCCGATGAACCCCTCAAAACCCTATGGAACCCGTCCCTGATCTCAGGGTCTGCCCTGCAGGACAAGAGCACCTTCAGGGACGCTTCTTGGGTGTAGGGGGTTTAGGGTTTAGGGTTTGGGGTTTTGGGGTTTGGGGTTTAGGGTGTAGGGTTTAGCATGTCAAGATCGAGGAACTAAGGGTTCAGGGGTGAGGTTTCGGGACAGGATGACTGCGGTGCCTGTTTTGTGTGGGCGGGTGTGTAGTGTAGGCATGGGCGCAGACGAGAATTCGAGATGTCAACAGGATGGTGAGCTAGTCTCAGAATGAAAATTGCAGAAGGCCCGCTTTTTTAGGGACGGTTAGTATAAGGGGGAACATCCCAATTGATCCCTCAAGAGACCTTGGCTGCTTCATTGTGCTTGAGGAAGATGCAAATGGAGAGGGCCGTGACGTTGTTGCCCAAGTTCACAAGCTGTGGTCCTGCAGGCGCAAAATCCAGCGCGATGCTGTTTTGAGGATTGGTTCATGGCCCTAAGCCCTGAACCCTAAACCCTTAACCCTAAACAAAACCCTATCAAGCTGGTGCAAGCAGCTGGCAAGTACTGCTTGTAGGTTCATGGGTAGCAGGGCTGACCTAAGCCCGAAATCCGAAACCCGAAACGCGAAACCCTCAACCCTCAACCCTCAAGCCTCAAGCCTCAACCCTACACCCTAAACTAAACCCTGCGGTCCTTCGACTTGAATCGGCTCGTTCACGTCTGCCCGTGCCTCCAGCAGCGTGGACAACTGCAAAGGGCTACCGCCCAAAGCAGCATAGCCTCGGTGGGCCCTCTACACCCTCGGCTTAGGGGTTTAGGGTTTAGGGTTTAGGGTTGGGGTTTAGGGATTCCTAAACCCTAAGCCCTGTGGTCTTCTTAAGCCCATTAAGGGGGGGGGTAAAATGATGGAAAAGGTGAACATCTCCCAAGGGCCCCAGTAGCATAAGGGCGTCCATCCAGAGGCATCTCGCTCATGGATGTTTCGGAAGCCTCGTCTCTGCTGGGCTTAGGGTTTAGGGTTTTAGGGTTTTAGGGTTTGAAGGTTTAGGGTTTAGGGTTTAAGGGTTTTAGGGTTTGAGGGTTTAGGGTTTGAGGGGGTTTAGGGTTTTAGGGTTTTATGGTTTTAGGGTTTGAGGATTTGAGGGTTTTAGGGTTTTAGGGTTTAGGGTTTTAGGGTTTTAGGGGTTTAGGGTTTTAGGATTTGAGGGTTTTATGGTTTTAGGGTTTAGGGTTTTAGGGTTTTAGGGTTTAGGGTTTTAGGGTTTAGGGTTTTTAGGATTTAGGGGTTTTAGGGTTTAGGGTTTTAGGGCTCTAGGGCTTTAGGGTTTAAGGGTTTAGGGTTTTAGGGTTTATCTAGGAGTTTCTACTTTTCACGGGGCTTGGGCTTCGGGGTCTGGGATTTCTCGGCTTTGTTGTTCAGAACGCCAGCACGACTAATCCTTCAAACCTCTCTAAGGGGGAGGCCAATCATTTCCAAGCTCTACCCGGAAAAGGAGCATCAAAGCACAATGCCAGAAACCGCAAGAATGAAACCAAGGGTGTGAAAAAACACGAGTCTCCTCCAGAACTCGTGAAGCACCCAAGCATGCGCAACATCAAATCTGGTAGCTAAGACAAGGGGGGTTTACCTCATTCTGAAACCCCTAAACCCTATACCCTAAACCCTAAACAGGCGGGCAGCCGTTCTGGTGCAGGAACTCCTCCATGAAGTAGTCAGCCGGATCGGAAGTGCTGGATTCCAGGCCCGGAACGAGTTTCCCGATAGGATCCACATTCCTGGTTCATGGGGTTTAGGGTTTAGGGTTTAGGGTTTAGGGATACTATTAAAAATGTAACTTTTTATTCCTTATAGGGTTTGAGTACCCTTTAAACATGTAAAAGTGGTACCCAACCATGACAAAGATTCAGGTTTCGGAAGAGGACCGCCTGCAAGTTCAAGAGGCTTCGGTAGTTGTGAAGGTTCCTTGGTTGTCCAGTAACCTGGGGGAATTAAAGGGCTAACCTTTAGGGAATTTATAGGGTTTAGAATACCCCAAAAAGGTTAAAGGTTACCTACTCTACTTCTACTAAGAAACCCTAAACCCGAAACCCTAAACCCTTAAAGGTCACCGGCTCTGCTGCGAAGGTTCCCGGCGCGGAGGTATTCGAGCAACTTCTCCTTGACCATTCCTGTGCTGTCGGGTTTGCTCTCTCCCGTTCGGCCCCATGCCTGCCCACCTCCCCCTTCCTACTCCTCAGCAGCCCTAAGGGCCCAAAAACCCTAAAACCCTAAAACCCCAAAACCCCAAAACCCTAAACCTAAACCCTAAACCCCTAAACCCCTAAACCCTAAACCCTAAACCCTAAACCCTAAACCCTAAACCCTAAACCCTAAACCCCAGCCCCTAAACTCCTAGGAGCCGCACAAGCGGCTCAGAGAACAGGAACCAAGGGGCTGGAAGGGAGGGGGGTGTAAGGGTTTAGGGCCCATATTCCCTTATTGGGGCTTCTTTTTGTGATTACTCAGCCCTTATTAGGGATTATTTCGTGATGTTTTCAGCCCTTATTAGGAGATTATTCAGCCCATATTCCCTTATTAGGGCTTATTTTGCGATTCCCAAGCCCTTATTAGGGATTATTCAGCCCACATTCCCTTATTAGGGCTTATTTGGTGATTGTTAAGCCCTTACTATGGGAGCTTGGGGGCACCATCCCCATGCCTTTCTCACCCCCTTGGTTCCTTCTGAGCGTAGCCAAGGATCCTGAAAGGACCTGGCCCACATGCTTCACCTGGATGTGTTGCTGCTTTTCTTTTAGAGGTTTAGGGCTGAGGGTTTGGGTTTGGGGGGGAGTTTTCTTCGGGTTAGATAAATACGCTAAAAAGGAACTTAGAAGCCAGAGGAAATTCCCCCCCCCCCCCACTCCCCCCCCAAAAAAGCCACTAAACCCCGCACCCTTGTTTAGCCGGAGGTTTAGGGTTAACCCTAAACCCTAAACCCTAAACCCGAAACTTTTTCCAAATTCAACCCCAGGCCACATCCTCCTCGACCGTAAAGAGTCCCTCTCCAACCGGCTCCAAGACCCAGTCGAACATCGACCTTTGAAGGTTTTGGTTTAGGGCTTCGGGTTTAGGGTTTAGGGCTTAGGTTTTTAGGGTTTAGGGTTTAGGGCTTGGGGTCTAGGGGGTTTTAGGTTTAGGGGGTGGGCTTTTAGGCTTTCAGGTTTAGGGGGTTTAAGGGGGTGTAGGGTGTAGGGTGTTCGGCGTTAGGGCGTAGGGATTAATGTTCTAGGTTTTAGGCGTAGGGTTTTGATTAGGGTTTTAGGGTGTAGGGATTTAGGGCGTAGGGACTTAAGGTTTAGGGCTTTAGGATGTCTAACAATGTGAGGTCGGGTTTAGTAGGGTTTGTAGGGTTGAAAGGTTTTGGTTTCAAGCGTCAAGGTCTAGGTTTCGGGGTTTAAGGCTTTAGGATTATGGTTTCGAGTGTGTGTCAGTTTTCAGGGTTCAGGGCCCCAGGGGCTTGAAGGTTCTTCTTTTTTTTTGGGGGGGGGGGGGGGGGGAGGGGGTGGGGGGGGGGGGGGGGGGGGGGTTTCGTGTGTTGCGTCTTCTTAGACTCAATGAACCCAAACCCCCAAACCCTCCCCAAACCCCAAACCTTAATACAGCAGAAAACAAGAAGAGCAGAGGTGCGAGTCTTGTGGACATACCTTGCGCTCTAACATTCGGCTAAGGGCTAGCCTTCAGAATCCAAAGGCTTTAGGGTCTAAAGTAGTTGTAAGCCCTAAGGCCCTTAACCCTAAACCCTAAACCCGAAACAAAGTACTGGTAAGCCCTAAGACCCTAAACCCTAAAAGGAATCCGAAGTTCAACAGTCCCGATGCAAACGAACCAGACGGGGGGCGCCAAGGTCAGGCGGCTGGCGCTCTGCACCTCGATGGGGCCCTAAACCCTAAACCCTGAACCCTAAACCCTGAACCCTAAACCTCAAACCCTAAACCCTAAACCCTAAACCCTAAACCCTGCGCCTCGATGGCCAGCTCCAGGCTGGAGCATGTACTGAGATGCCTTAGTGTCAGAACGCTAAACCCTTCTCAGCCCAGGGGTTAGGCACCTAAACCCTAAACCCTAACCTCTAAACCCTAAACCCCAGATCTTGGGATGTTCCTCCTTATACTAACAGTCCTTAAATCTGGATTATTGTACCCTCCCTATTACACCCCACTATTAAGGACTGTTATCAGGAACATCCCGGCCTAGATCCCAACACGCCTGTTTGCAACCCTAAGGACCCTCCTTACAAACCACCCATGAACCTCCAAGTAAACCCCCCCAAAACCCCGTCTTTGCAACCCTAACCTGACCCTGACCCGATCTTGAGCGGGCCCCCCGCCCCAAGAACAACATGAACAACAGATCCCTCCAAAAGGGTAGCCCAGGCCCAGGCATCTTACCAAAAGGGCTGAGGGTTTGGGATTTTGTCTATTTCGGACATCCTTTTCTTTGGGGGTCGGGGGAGGGGGGTGGGGGCCGGTGGGGGCCGGTGAGGGCCGAGGGACCTTTGTGTCCTAAAACCAGCTCATGGAGGAGTGGGGAAGAACAGCAGGAGTCTACCTGGAGGTTCAAATTAGTAGATAAGAGTAGGGTTGCATGTACGGCAAACCCAAAACCCTAAACTCGAAACCGTAAACCGGCAAACCTGAGTTCCATTTGGTTGCAGCCTTGATGGCCCTCTCTTGGCCCCGTGCAGGCAGACTAGGAAAAGGCCGATATGAGTTGGGATGTTCCCGCTATACTAACAGTCCTTACCAGGGATTATAGTACCCCCTACTATACTCCGTATTCAGGACTCTTAGATCAGTATAAGAGTTCTCTGAGGCTCCACCGTCCAGAGCCCGGCGTTTCTGCAGGCCCAGCCAGCTGCAGCTGGCATCTCAACAAATGCAGGCGGGAAGATGTGGCCACCGCCTTGAAGGAGTGGCCGAACTACATTCGACGATGGAGGCGGCGAAAACTCCTCTGCGCTTGCTTCGAGAGATCATCCTCATACCAGAAGATGTCGAAGAACTCCATCGGCACTAGCTCAGACAACACCCACGGACCAGCTATTTTGAAAAAGCCCCTGTCACCAAAATCTGGGCCCCAAGAGTTCATCAAGGTCATGTAGCGGTCATCGTCTTTGATATATGTGACTACATGACCATCGCGCGAAGAATCTGCGTAACCTTCAGAGTCGTCGCCATCGTCGCCGCGCCCGGCCCGCATGTGCTTCCTACATAGCACTCCACGTCGGTGCGTGCTGAAGAATTCACCAAATTTGTCCCATCCCGGAGACGACAGCGTGAAGATTGCCACAACCGCTCGCCCTTGCCTCACGGCTTCGCGCGCTTGCGGAAAGCGCACGCGCTGAAAGTGCAAGCCGTACCTTCTACACACATACTGCAGCACAGCTCGTTCGCTGCGGTTGCGTCGGTTGTGAAATTTGCGAATAATGTCGTCCCGCAACATCTGGATAGCCACCTGCACGGCCAACGATCCGCAAGAGCGCAGAGTGAGTGGCGGAGGAGATTGCGTGGGCGTAGCAAGTCCCATGATCTCCCTGATCAGGAGACGGCACAAACTTGCTCAGATGTTGCTGTCTCAGGAACTTCTCATACTGCTTTGATGCCCGACCAGGCTGCGCAAGGTCAGAAAGATGGTGCTTGAGAATCTTCCTCCTCTGCGTTTGGGATAGCCCTTGAGGGCTGGAGTTGTGAACCTCAACCAGACTGAGCATACCACGCATTCCGAGCTGGCGGGGCGCTGCCCATAGCAGCGCTTGGACGCCTCGATAGACGCGGATGCTCTGGGAGAGTGCCATCGCAGAGCCGGGTCTTGAACTAACTGTATCAAACAAACTTCGGAAAGATCCTCCTCTGCCCTAAACTCAAAACTCTACACCCTAAATTTGAGCCCTGTCGAAGGCGGCAGAGGCCCTTCGCGCAAATTCCGGGTCAAGACGTGAAGTGAGTGCCCCTCCCTACATCCTAAACCCTGGGTGTCGGGCTTAAAGGGTTTAGAGTTTAGATCGATAGCTGACTCCCTTCAAGTCAACAACATAGGCTGCCAGGCCCATGATGTCGTCCATGTCAGGTCTTCGTGTTTAGGCCTGAGGATTTGGTGTTCAGCACATTAGGGAGTCGGGGTTCAGTGTATGCGGCACTCAAGATCCCAGATGTTTGCTTCTCCGCCGCGTTGTTCTGCTGGTGGCAACATATCTTGTTCAAGAGCTGTGGGATTCGAGGAGGGATGGTTATATACATATATATGTATATACATATATGCATAGAGAGATATATGTATAGTATAGTCTATATATATATATATCTATACATATACAGGGAGAGACAGACAGAGAGAGAGAGAGAGAGAGAGAGAGAGAGAGAGAGAGAGAGAGAGAAGAGAGAGAGAGAGAGAGAGAGAGAGAGAGAGAGAGAGAGAGAGAGGAGAGAGAGGGAGGGAGGGAGGGAGGGAGGGAGGGAGGGAGGGAGAGAGAGACTCAGGCACCTCGTTTCTGAACCAGGCTTCTCCATGTCCTACACCCCTTAACCCCCAACAAAAATCGCAGCCCTTTTCAGGAGGGACTGCCAAAGACCTCAGCCCTAAGACTGGAAAATGCGGTACTTGTTCAAAAAAACCATATCTTCGAAAGCTCCCCGTTTCAGAAAAGAACCCCGAAACCTTAAACCCTAAACCCTACACCCTAAACCCTAAACCCCCTACTTTCAAGGGGCTCTTACCCCCCACGGATGTGCAGCTGCGGTGCCTGACTAGGCGCTCCAGGCGGCACCAACCGCGCCTTGCTAGTACTATTCAGAGCTGGCGGTTTAGGGTACCCTCAACCCGAAGCCGCTGAGGGACGCCCATGCAGATAACGTCGAATCTCTTAGAAACAGCCAGACCCTAAACCCTAAACCCTAAACCCTCAAAAGAAAGAAAAACTGTCCCAACCCACCCGAGGAGCGTGGACCAAGAGGATTTGCTCAAGAGCGATTGGTGCTCCAAGTGCCGAACTGGGGGGCACAGAATGACAAAGTACTGACTTCCTTGGGACGAGGGTTTGGGGTTCAGGGTGTCGGGTCTAGGGAAATCTTGGTAGCCCCAGAACCAGATTTTGATCAGGGCACCAGCTTTTTTGGGTTGGTTACTCTGTAAGGGAACCTTGAACCTAAAAAAGGCAAAACAAGGTACCACTAGGCGACCAAGCTTCGCTCCACATAGGAGGGAATGCTTCGTATGGCCATTCGCCGGTCCTCATGTGATATGCTGTCCGATTCCTGCGGGCAGCAGAAGTAGTCCTTGGTCACTGCCATGCTCTCTGGTTGGAAAATAATTGGAGGTTCAAGGTGCTTACTAACCAGTTAACACTGTACTTATAACTGTACTTATAACCCTAGTCGGGCACTTTAGGGGCTTATAAGTGGGTTATAAGTACAGTTATGATTGGTTAACCAGTACCATGAACCTCCAAGTGCCATCTTGGGGTAGCTGCATGGGCCCTTAATGTGGTTCCTTGCCTCCTCTTAAGGTTTTTGAAGCATGGGCCCTTTTGTTGTAGAGGGTATGTAGGGGGTATGTAAAGTGGATCCCAGTTTACAAGCCCATGCTAAGGGACCATGTAATTACCTAAGATGCCAGCAAACCACAAACGACTCCGTCGCAAGCCCCGTTGCGCGCGCCCTGCTTGGTTTGGAAACTTCTGGAGGGGTAATCGCCGCCCCGATTACAATCGATCGACCCCCACAATTCTCGTAAGGCGCTCGGCTGTCGCTGTCGAGTGGTCTCGCTCATACTCCAAAATACTAGGACCTTCTTCTACAATAGGATGCCCCAAAGCCCATCCAAGCCTTAAACGCTAAACCCTCAAGTCTTTCAAGCACCATGTGAACAGATGTTTACATGTTAAGAGCAGCAAGGTGTCGTACCACATGTACAGCGGCCGCTCGGTGAGCTGTGACGAACTGACAGCCTTAGTCATCTTTCTAGGGGTGCGGGGCTTAGGGTGATGGGAATTCTTTCATATGAGCATGAGGCTTCGCGAGTCTCAGTCTGCACAGTGCAGCCTCACACCCCACCTGAAACTGAAACCCTCGTATCTTAAAGGCACCCGACTTGCAGGGCAACCTCCAAAACGCTAAGCAATTGCAGCGCCAGTATATACATCCTTTTGCAGCAGGCTTGCAGATACTGCCAGACAAAGCCCTGAGCCCTGAACTTCTGCTTAAACCACAGCGAAAAGCATGTGCGAGGGCTCTCGAGGGGGTTGTCCGTTTGGGCTGTAGGGCCCCTTGCACTGCTACAGTGGCCGACTTAATGGGGCTTAGGTTTGAGGAACCCTTTTCAATTTGGGTGCGTAGCTTGCACTATGGAAATTCTTGAGGCACCTGCATTCAGGGGCAACTGCTGGCTTATGTAAGAGTTCCTCACTCTCAGGGCACGAAGAGAGGCAGGGACGAGTCGAGTGGGACGCTGCTGCTACGTTGTGACGGGCTGTGCCATCGAGCGTCGGTCGCGAGCCCGCAAAGCTCGAGGATGATATTGGGCGAGATCGGAGGGGATGCACCTCCCAAACCCTAAACCACCTGAAACCGTGAAACCCCAAAATGCCCTGGCTTTCTTTTGGATTTAGGGTTTATCCCTAAACCCTAAAGCCTAAACCCTGGGGTACAAGGCTTGAAGCTCCATGGCGAGCAACCCTCGTGGCCACAAAGGGCACTCAAGGACTGCATCCAACCCGAAAAGCTCAGGTTTTTGGGTTTAGGGTTTTTGGGTTTAGGGTTATTCTGGTTGCCCACTAACCGATGAGTAAAAAGGGCGCCCCCCCTTTTTGCTTAAAGGAGTTTGTAAGGGAACTCAAGTGTAAACCTCAAGTCCAGGACTTAGAGCAGGAAGCTCACGACGTTGAACCACCTGAAACGCTCGCAACATACAGCTCTCAAATCCTACCCCCCCCCCCCCCCCCCCTTGGGGAGTAAGACGCACTACAGGCCCTTAGAATGCAGACGAAATACTGCTTCTTGAAGTTTTTAATGATATTTACATTGATCTGATGACTCCTCCCTCCCATGCCCAACTTACTCACAACATGATTTCGTATGGACAAACATTGGCAAATGACAATGCGTGAGCTTGTGCAAAGGCTCTGGAATTCAGACATGTCAACTTCTGTAGTCAAGAAATAGTTACATCAAGATTTGTTTGCCAAAGGAATATTTTACTGGCAAAAGACGCACCGCAGATACATTGTCCTTGCATACTTAACGTTTTGAAGATCTTTTAAATATCCACATAGAGGCAACAACCTGAGGATATGAAACATCTTGAGATGCCAGCATGGTAGTAGGCTACACAACCTAGATGGTTCCATCCCAAAAAAAGTGCATACGGGGCGTAACCCGGCTGCAGTGTGTCTCTTTCTGCAAACCCTATACCCAGCCCTAACAACCCTAACCCCCTAACCCCTAAACCCTAAACCCTCAAAAGCAAACAAACTCAACCGCCTCGAAGGACGTTCCTCAAGGCATCCTGCAGAACGTTCAGCTGGTGAAGCCCGGGGTCGGGGTGGCCCACGCTGGCCTCGGGCTTGCTTCTCGGGGGCTTCCGGGGGTCACAGCTGGCTCAGAAGCGTACACCACAAGCTTCGGTGGTGCCGCAAAGCCTTCTGGGGGTTTGGGGTTTAGGGGTTTAGAGGTTTAGGGGTTTAGGGTTTGGGGTTTGGGGCTTGAGGTTTGGGTTTGGGGTTCTGGGGTTTGGAGTTTGAGGGTTATAGGGTTGTAGGTTATAGGGATTAGGGTTCATCATCTCAAGTCCAAGCATTCAGTAGTCAAGCGATTAGTCCAGAAAAATACCCACCCACCCAGAGAATCCCACAACATTACGAACATATTTCACTTATAGATCAACCTTGCCCAGTAAAAAAAATGACCTTGCCCAGTAAAAAAATGACCTTGCCCAGTAAAAAATGACCTTGCCCAGTAAAAAAATGACCTGGCCCTGCAAGAAAATGACCATGCCCAGTAAAAAATGAACTTGCCGAAAATGACCTTGCCCAGCAAAAAACTGACCTGCCCAGTAACTCCCCAACATTTAATTATATATGAAAGAGAGGTTTAGGGTTAGGGTTGAGGGTTTGGGGTTTTTGGGTTATAGGGTTATAGTTTGATAGGCTTATAGGGTTATAGGGTTTAGGATTAAAATACGGTTTAGGGTTTAGAGCCACTGCCTTTGGGACGGTCGCTTGAAGAACTCTCCAAGTGGCCCATTGATGCGAGACGAACATGGCGTGGCCTTGCTTGGGCTGGGTTTGCCTAAGCCCTAAACGCTCTTATCGGTGCTTGAGGGGGAGCCGGTAGGTTTAGGGCCTGATTTTCACCAAAGCGGTTGAAATGCCGGGCACGTCTTGCTAAGATGTTTCCCGTGCTGGCAGAGACATAAGTGCTGGTACTCCGAAAGACTCATGGAGACGTGCAGCAACTACCGATGGGCATTCGAGATTCTGCCGGTTGTGCTTGCCAAACGGCACCATAGCATCTCTGAGGGTATGCTTGGTAGAA